AAAATCAATATTTTTCAATCCCATGAGGGGATCCAATATCATCTCAGACCTGAATGTACCAATGATAGAGCACTGAAGAGTTACTGATGCGTGAAGCCTGACTGCTTTTGACAGACTGGCAGTGACAGATCGGTAGCTGCAGCATAACTAATGGAGAATGAGCGCAGACAAGGATAATGTCCTCCGATCAGAAAAAAAACAACATTTAAGTTGTGCTGACTTCTGATCAGTTCAATTGGCAAAGTGTTCCCTGATTTAAAAACTTTGGCTGGGTTGATGCTTCAGCCTCCATTACGCACATACAGAGCGCAGTTGACCTACTTCAACAACGTTAGGAATACACTGCATTTACCGTTCGGTAAAGGTAATGTCGTTTTAACTATGTAAACAATTATTTTGTTACCCTTACTGCTAAAACAGCGTAATTTAATGTAATTAATTACCACCACTGGTTATCATAATGTAAAGTGTAGAAGTAAATTTAAATCTAATTTGATATACAAAGAGGTGTTTACAAAGGTTGTAAAGCTAGTTATGTAGCTATTTGGTGGTTACGTGTTTTGATATTTACATGTTTACATGTTTGAATGTTTAGACATGCATGTTCAAACCAGTAATAAGTATGTGTTATATCTACCTGGTTGTTTTCCCTGTTTTGATCTGAGTATAAGATTTCCTGGCTTCTGAGAGGCCAGTGAAGTATTCATGAGGGCAGCACACAGGAAGTGTGGGTTGTTGTTGCGGTGTGCTAAAAGAAAAGAGGCTGCTAAAAAGTTATCCGTCTCCGTCTTGCTGTTCCTAATTATTCAGAGAGATTCCAAACCATCTAGTGAACCCTCACGTTACAATAATATGGGCCATTTACCTGAATGATTGGCATGAAGCAGAACTGTGACAGAGCTTAGTCAATGAAATCCCCAAAGAAGAATCCTTCGTCCTCCAGTTCTCCTAGAAGCTTGATCCATGACTCGACTCCTTCTTTTCTGATCACTCCCCATCAGCTCTCAATTCTCTGGTTTGCGGTACTTGCTCCTGTGACGTAGCTTCTGTCTCCTGCTCTATCATCCCCGTCATTTCTCTGTAAATAACGCTGGAGGTCTCTGACCAACACGTTCTCGGTGCCCATGTCAGTTCGTACGAGCCTGGGGAAACCCCCACGACTCTCCACTGCTTCCACAAAGTAACCTCCGATAACCTTTGGGTCACTGTTAGTGTGTGCGGCCCGCAGCCAAATGATGTTGCGTGAGAAACCGTCGATGCATCCATTAATACATATCCTTTAGTTTGTCATAAGAGTCTATGTGCCACACAAAGTTAGGCCCCTGAGCAAAATATTGCCTCCTTCTGAGACGTCTGGTCTGGCGAACCTGGGAACCTACTGGGTCCAGTAAAGAGATGAGGATCCTGACGTCTTCTTTCCTGATTGCAATGCCGTGTTGTTTGCACTTTGTAAACATCCACCGATAACCGTGATCCTTCCCAGGCCCTTGCAGTTGGTTCACAATAACATCTATCCCGGCGTCCAGGTCGTACTTACGTCTGTAAAGCGACTTGGCTCTCAATATCCGGTTTAAATGTCTCTCCGTAATGATGGTTCCTTGCATTGCCAGGCTTTTCAAAATGCATTTGTAGCTCATTCCCAGCCTGAAATAAAACTCAATCAGACTGTCTCTGTCCATGGTGTATTTAGCCTACTTTTATGCTTGTGTCTCTACACAGCTGTCCAGGAATTCTATCAATAAGATGTGCGCATGATATATCTATTTCGTGGCCACAAATGCGTAATTCGTTGCCACGTTATACCCAATTTGTGCCCACAAATAAGTATTTCGTGCGCACGTTATACCTATTTCGTGCCCTCGAAATAGTATTTCGTGGCCACAAATAAGTATTTTGTGCGCACGTTATACCTATTTCGTGCCCTCGAAATAGTATTTCGTGGCCACAAATAAGTATTTCGTGGGCACGTTATACCTATTTCGTGCCCTCGAAGTAGTATTTTGTGGCCACAATTTATTTATTTTTTGGACCATGTCATCAGAGGGGCTCCGTA